TTTCAATTAAATATTCTTTGTAAATTAATCTTTAATTTTTTCAAATGTAATTAAATGAAGATATTTAAATTGATAATTATCAAAATGAAATATTCTTTTTAATGAAATTAGAAAATTCTTTTTTTCTTTTATTTTTTTATTTAAATTTCTTTCTTTCGTGCAGTTGTTCACTTATTTTTTAATAAATTAGCAAATTCTTATTTTATTTAAAATTCATTTGTATCCATCTTAGTCACTCGCAACAGCCAACGGCAACTGTTGTTGACTCCAACAAGTGTCAACAACGACTTGTTTCATTTCTTTACTTTGAACTGAAAGTTGAATTTCAATGCCAACAGGTGCACAACTTCCTACAAGTCTGTCTTCGTTTGAAACAGTTGTTCAACATGCAAATCTTCATCATCGGGAATCACACGTGAAGAATTAGATGACGGTCCGCTCGTTCCAGCCCATAAGCTCCTACCCGACTCATGTCTCTGACGGGATAAGATAATCAAATCCTCATTTGTAAATTCATTTACATTCTTGTTGTCCTCAACTACCGACTGAATTTTATGCACCACAGTGATGTCACGATGAGGAACAACTGTCTCAGAAATGTTAGCTTCATCCTCGCAAGCTATCTTCACCGTATCCAAAAAATCATTTGCATTATCATTAGCTCCATTTGAATGTTCATTTCTACCTTCCACGTCGTCCATTCTCACTGAAGTCATGCAAATCGATATCATTTGCATTTTGTTCAACTCAAACAGATAATTCACTTCAATATTGATGTAACCTTCATAGGTGGAATTGAAAATGGCAAATGCTCTTTGAATTGAAGTCTCAGTATCATATCGTATCGAGATGAATCGACGTTTAGCTTGTTCTGTATATCAAGGTACAGTTTCTCGTACGATGTAGTCTCTGTTATATATGTCAGCATACCACCTTGCATGTCATTCGTTCATTTCCATGCCCATTGATTATTTTCATCTAATTCAAAATCACAAAAATAACAAATCAGGAGTATAATCATCATATCTACATGATAAAACAGAATTTGTAGTTTATTCACTCAAAAATTCGGCTCACTGTGGGAAGAATCTTGTTAAAAAACAAAAAATATATATATTAACAGTCGGACGGTTGTTTTTCTCTAACAGTCGGCTAGTCGGTCTGGCGGCTAATCGGAAAGTAACATGCAGATGAATTTTTTTCTGTTTGTGCTTAAAAAAATTATACATCTACTAAAAGAATTTATCCTCATGTTATCTATGTCGAATATATCGATTAAAAACGTATACATATTTAACGAAAACGAAATTAAACATACGTAAATATACTTACTGATTCAAAGTGATTGACAGAAAATAATTTTTTTCTTCAACTATTGTAATTTTTGAGATTTTCAGACTAAAGAAGATGATAGAGTTTTAAACTGTGTTGGAGATGATTTTGAAATTCTAAGTCGCGAGTGTTTGTTTTTTATCGATATTTTTGAGATTTTCATATTGAAGAAGATGAGAGAGTTTTTATCTGTTTTAAAGCTGATTTTGAAATTTTAAGTAGGGAGAGTTTGATTTTTATTTGTTAATTAGAAGGATAGTATTATCTTTTTAAAAAAGTCATATTTTGTAATTGTTTTATACATTAAAGTGCATTTTTATCTTTAGATCTTAAATAGGCAAATGTGAAAATATGCATTTAACAGAAAGTCAAATGGAAAAACGGCCATGACCGATTACCCCAAATGAACTCCTATTTCAATTCACCTTCTCCCCTTCGCTAAACCGTTCAATTAATCGTTAAACCTCTCCAATTTTCAGAACACGAAATAATCAGGTAGTTTTCAAATTGAATGAATTTTCTATTAATCTTTTATTAACTCGTTTTTAATTATCATTCAAGTCTAAATTTTTTTGATTGGTATTCGATTATTTGCTTTTTATTTTGCGTCATCTTCACGTAACCCTGGGAATAAGTAAAGGTTTAAGAATCCGTGCATTTAGATAGTAGTCTCTATTTTTTTGATGGAATTGGTGTCTTTATTTTATTAGCCTCATTGAAAATTAATAATTTATTATAAGAATTTTTGTAATTCACTCAATTTTGCATTATCGATATGGTGTTTGTGGTTGGTTTAAGTCTTTCACCCAATGTTTATGAGGTTTTCTTTTGGTATAACTGCTCTTTGTTGTATATATGCAGGAAACATCAGTGTACTCATATGCTTGTAAATGCGTCTAACTGTATAAACTTTTCATTTTCAAATCTGGGAAAGGAGAATATGAAGTTTAATTATGTAGATGACTTGGACGATACTGCCTCGATTGCGCCAGAAAGCCAAAGTCCGAAGGCCTTGAATCAGAAAATTTCATATCCATTTCTGTTTGGTTCTGAAGATTTTGTGGATGGAGGGTATGACTCCGGTGATGATAAGGACGCCCCCTTATGCTAAAAAATGGCCGGCCAGAGGTCAATTTGTGAAATGTTGTGAGTGGGCTATTTTCTATTTTCACTGCACGCGGTAAAGAACCTAATGGTCTCTCCAGTCCTTAGTTGCCCAATTCAAATGTTTCGTTTCTTGGCGGTAAAGAACCTACTGGTCTCTCCGGTCCTTAGTTGCCCAGTTCAAATGTTTCGTTTCTTGGATCTGCCAGGAATAGAGAAACATTCTTGCACTCGTCTGTTTATATACCTAGTGCTCCCCCACTTCTTGAGCGAAATTCTTTCAATTATGATGCTTACAAAGAGGTGTTGGAAGTTGAACCACCCGAGTGGCTTCCGGACAATTCTACTAGAGTTTGCATAAAGTGCAATGCTCCCTTCACAGTTTTGACTCGTGGAAGAAATAACTGTCGTTTTTGTGGAGGTATTTTTTGTAGGATGTGCTCAAAAGGGAGGTGCATGTTACTTGTTTAAGTTTAGGGTGAGGAATCTACAAAGGGTATGTGACACCTGCTATGATAGGCTTGATCCCTTGCAAAATTTATTAGTCAAAACCATCAACAATGCTATGCAGGTGCCAAAGTCATGGATTGGACTTGCTCAAGATGGTGGCTGAATCTTCCTGTCAGTTTGTCCATGGAGCAAGAAATATATAAGTCAGTCAATACATTAAGGAGTTATTGTCAGGTCCAACTCTTATTGTCTTAAATGCTTCTGTCAAGGGTTCTGTTTACTCTAGAAGCAACCTTGCCGTACTATTTCTCAGAGATTTATTGGTGCGAAAGCATTTAGGAATTCTTGTGATAAGAATTATAAAATAAATAAGAACGATATTTGAACAATCACGTCTTATATATATTGAATAATAATTTATTGTTGTTGAAAAGTGTACAATGTCTTTGTATTTATAGAAAAAACTATACACTAATCCTATTAATATAAGGAAACTAAATTCTAAAAGAAAATAAATTAAAATCATAATAAAAAAAATTAGAAATCTTATTCTAATCAATAAAGAAAAGAAATCATATTTTAAACAAAATATTAGAATAAAAAGATAAAACTCGTCCTCAAGTTTTTGATAATTTGTGTGTATTCGAACTTGGCTGGGACTCGATAAAATTTTCTAGCCACATGTTGCCGTGTTCTATGATTGTTGTTCATAGTAATTAAGGTTTGTAAATTCTTGTCAGCTTGCTTTTCCATGGGCTCGCAATTCCTTTCAAGACTCAACCCAGTCAGCATTTGCGTGATGTTGTGAAGGGTTTCATCAATTCCTTTGACTCATTGTTCGAGTTTGTCGAGCCTCCATTCGTCGTCAACAATTCGATTGCCACTAAAACCATCGTTAGCCATCAGATCGAGGCAATTTCCTTACTCTGATACCAATTTTGGTGCTGAAGCGTTAAAACATTTTTGTAATAAGAATTATAAAATAAATAAGAACGATATTTAAAAATCATGCCTTATATATATTGAATAATAATTTATTATTGTTAAAAAGTGTACAATACCTTTGTATTTATAAACAAAACTATACCTTAATCCTATTAATATAAGGAACTAAATTCTAAAATGAAATAAATTACTATCCTAATCTAAAAGAAATTAGCAATCCTATTCTAATCAATAAAGAAAAGAAATCATAATCCAAATAAATTGTTAGAATAAAAAGATAAAACTTATTATAAATATCTAATTTTAATCATATTTACATTAGGATTTTCCTACATCATTTATCTTCCACTGATGAGAGGCACAATCAGCACAACTCGTAAAAGGTTTATTTTACGAGCCTCTGAATAGTGTGGTGATTGTAGTTGATGATGGCTTTTATGTCTTAACTAAATTATATTGTTTAAACATTGAAATCTAAAGAACAATTAAAAATAATAGGTTGCTAGATTGAACCACGAGAAGTTGATCCCGACAAGCTGTTCTGAGAGGAGCCAAAGGCTTGGCAATCTTGACAGTTGCAAAAGGTGGGGTGCTACTTGCTTACAAATTTGGAACTGGCTTGGTTGTTGCTCGAAGATCAGACAGTTCATGGTCTGCACCATCTGCCATTCTATCAGTTGGTTTAGGACGGGGTGCCCAGGTATACCATGGTGACTTTTTGCCAGTGTTATGGATTCTTATGCGTCTTTCCATTGAGGAACTAAAACCAATATGCTTATCTGTTCCAGTTGAAAGGAAGTCAGAAAAATTGATTCCTAAGTGTTTGATACGCGTTATTTTTCAGGCAACTAGGAAAATATTTTTCACTTTCCACTTTTTTGGCTATTTGATAAGCGAAATTTTCCACGGAAAATATTTTCCGGGTTTAGCCCACACATGTGCATTTTCCGGCTTTTTGATGAAAAACTTTTCCTGCCTTTTTGGTGAGAAAAATTTCACGGCTGGCTGGAATTTTTTTTTTTTTTTTTTTTGCAATGGAAACAAATTTCATAGCCAATGGTAAAAAAAAATTTCACTTTAATGGACAATTTTCATGTAAAACAAAATCAAACGAACACTAAATTTTGATAAAAAAATGATTTTTTAGGAAACAATTTTTTTTCCCTTTTTTTTTTTTTAACTTTTTGGCAATGGAAACAAATTTTATAACTAATTATGGAAAAAAATATGACTTTAATGGACAATTTCCATATAAAACAAAACCAAACGAATAGAAAATTTAAGAATTTTCCACGTGGAAAATTATACCAATCAAACACACTTGAAATCGTTTTCCCTGCAAAACATTTTCTAGGCAAACCTTTTCCCTGTAAAACATTTTCTTTCCACCCATTTTCCACCCTTGCAATCAAACGCACCCTTAGGTTTTTTGAATTATCCAGAATGAAAATTCCTGTTACTTTCAAACCATCTCGAATATATGATGTATAAACGCTAAAAGAATAAAAATACGTTAATGAATTGGCATATTGTCTGATGATTTTGATTGATCATACTTATATGTTTAGTTTGAGTTTGGGCTTATGTTTATATGATATGGAAGTAAACACGGAAGATGAACACATCTATATTTTCCTGTTTTATTTCAATAGGCTCTACTTTATTATCCTACCGGTTTGCATTTCTGATCAAAATAAAACTTCATCAACTACAATTATGCAGTAGCAAAATGTTTCTTTAAAAAACAGGTGATCAAATCCTATTGATTGAGTTTGCACACTGTTAATATTGATGTTTATCAACATGCTTCTCTAATCACTGGTTGGAGGTGAACTCTTGGATTTCATAATTGTGCTACATGACTCCAAAGTAGTGAAAACATTTTGTAGCAGCATGCATTTTTCCCTTGGTTTGGGTTGCAGTGCTGCAGCAGGACTGATTGGGAGAGTTGTAGAGACAGATCTACGAGCTAGAGAAAAGGTTCTGGCATTTGCTACACTTGCAGTAAATGTATTAAATTTCATCTATATTTAAAACATCTCTGCTTTTGAAGTTGTTTCCTCTTGGCATTGTCAGTGTGTGGTTTTCTGAAAAACAATATACTTTTGATTGCTTTATCCAAGGTTTAAAGAGAAAATAGCTAAAAGCCTTGGGTTGGAAGCACCAAAAAAAGAAAGAAAAATAAAATCATATCTTAAGGGTTCACATATCCAAGAGAAAGTCAAATCAAATTGTTTAGCGTATGGATACAATTCATTGACATATTTTGAACTTTCAAGTTGCAAATAAGGCATTTCTAAGTCGAGTATCAATCTTTATGATGCCAATATGTCCTTAATTTATGATAGCAAGGCTTATATTGATATAGGTTTCAATATGTTCTGAACAGTGCTGCATTCTTGTAAAGGCCTTTTCTTGTTGATCTGTTTGGTTTATTGGTTTGATCGATTGTGAGATCCAAAGCAATTAGTTCTATAGCCAACCACGATAGACTGTTCGAGTATCAGAACATTAAAATTGTCAAAAAAAAAGAAAAAAAAATTACTTCATTGAGTAAGCTCAACTATTAGTCTTATGCGTAGAATGATGCTCGAGTTTATTTTCAGGAACTTAGATATTTTGTTACCAAGGTATATGTATTCCCACTAAGTCGACATGCTGGTTCCTTGCAGTCGGCCTCGTTCATCCCCTGGGATATATTGATGTTTCTTCCCAATCTTATCTGTATTAAGTACTCACAAGGAAATTTTTTGTGAATTTATCAGGTGCATTTGTGGGGTCTCATTAGAAGGAAATATGCCACAAAAAGATATACAAATCTTCGCTTTTATGGCGATCCATTCTTCACCACAGCTGTTATCCCTCTTGGGACAGTCGACATACCAAAAGCTGCTGAACTTTTATATGCTGCCATCCAAGACATGCAATCCAAATTGCAATGCTAATTTTGGCTGGCTGTTACGTGAAAAGCAAATGGGGAAAAAGATGAGCAGAACCAGCAAAACTAGAAAGAAAAGAGGAAGAAGAAGGCAACAGAATTACCTGACTTTGGAATTCAAAACGGTGTCGTTCAAACTTAAGCAAAATGGTGTCATTTTGAATTAATAAATTGTAATAGTTAAAAAAATCATTTTTTGCATTTTTTTTTTCTTTTGTCAAAGCACGATTTGCACTGGCGTATATTAACCTCCATTTGCAAAGGAAGAAGGGGTGGGATTTTATCTGTAATCTGAAATTTTCAGTGAATTTGTTGAAATCATTCAACAGCTTTCCTCATCTCTTTCTTCTTAATTTTCTCATTTATCCCTTTCCCATTCTATTTTCTGTTTTATTGGTTACTAATTCAGTTGATTAGTGTTGGAAGTCTCCATTTTCTGAGCTGTAGTTACGATGAGGATTCAAGCTAAAGTTTCGACCGTGACAAATGGTATCAGAGCAGGCGTAATATACTGGGAAATCGATAATCATGGATACAAGGTCGAAGGCGGTTGATGAACACTTGAAAAAATTGGGTCTGGAGATTGCTCTTCTGGGTAATTCCTTTAAAACTGTTACCAACAGGCTAGAGAACAAGTTGGCTTCCACTGATCAAACTCTCCTTGTAATTGGGCATAGACAGGAAAAAATTAAAGCTACGTTGTTAGATATGAATCATAAATATGAAAATTTAATGGCCATGTTGACTCATGTGTCTCAGATATAAAAATGGGGCAGAGAAACAAAGGAGTTTAAGAAACTGTGGTTAAGGTGAGATCTAAGGTGTAATATCTATCTCAGGAGCTAGTAACACTGAAAGTAGTACTCATACTAGTTTAAAGGGGAATAATAGGCTGCCTAAGATTGATTTTCGGCACTTTGAGGGAGAAGAACCTAAGGAATGGCTTAGAATAGTTAGGGAGTATTTTCAACTTCATCAGATCCCACATGAGTTGAGATTAGGTATTGCTGAAATGTATTTGAAAGGTAAAGTGGACATTTGGTTCGATGGTTTCCTTGCGAGACACCCTAATGCAGATTGGAGAATCTTCTCTGAAGAGTTGTGCAGGCGGTTTGATAAGAATACTGAATCAAATGAGGAAAGGGAATCTGAATCAAATGAAAAGGAAGTTATGGAGATTTCTATCAATGCTTTGGTAGGAAATCCAGGGCATAAAACTATTAGAATTCCTGGAATTTTAAAGGGGTGGAGGATATCTATTTTAATAGATAGTGGAAGCACACATAGCTTCATAAATGAGAGACTGGCTAAGGAGCTGAAGTACACTACCGAGGAAACCAAAATCATAACAATGAGAGTGACTAATGGTGAAAAGTTGGAGAGCAAGGCTTTGAATCAACTACTGGTTTGGAAGGTGCATGACTGGGAGTTTCAGTATAAATTGAGAACTTTGAAACTAGGGGGTAGTGACATGGTATTGGGGGTGAACTGGATGAGTCAATTTGGCCTCACAAAATTTGACTATATCCAAGGATATGTGAAGTTCTAACACCAACAGAAAGAGGTCAACTTGAGGAGTGAAGTTCAGAACTACAGGTTAAAATGATGGAAGTAGAGGAAATGGATAGTTTGTTTAGACGGTACAATTATGGAGTGGCTGGGCATTTATGCAATATTGTGGAGAAAGGGAAAGAAGAAATTCTATTCCAAATCACTGAGGTTATTAGCTAATATATAGAGGTATTTAAAGAACCAATAAGGTTGCCACCTCCTAGGTCACATGACCACCATATCTCATAGGAAGATGGAGAACAACCATTCAGAACAAGGCCTTATAGATGCCCTTTTATTCAGAAAACAGAAATAAAGAGGCTAGTGGTGGAGATGCAGAGATACAAATTAAACCAACAGCTAAAGGAGAACTTATCTCAAGCGATGGCTAGGATGAAACTTTATGCATACAAAAACAGGGCAGTGAGGTCCCTTGAAGATGGGGATTGAGTTTTTCTCAAGCTACATCCTTGTACTCAACATTCAGTGGAGCATAGGCAAAACCAAAAACTCAGTGCTAGATACTTTGGTCCATATCAAATCCTTAAGAATATAGGGACAATCGCTTGCCTATTAGCACTGCCTGGTCCTAATATTCATCCAATTTTCCATGTTTCACTATTGAAGAAAAAAAAACTTGGAGACAACAACTTCCAAAGGAAAAGCAATTGCTTGGTCATTATCCTCCAACCATTTTACAATTCGAGCTAGTGAAGTGCAGACATCAAACAGAGTACAATGGCTCATTATATGGTCGAGCTCATCACCAGATAGCGCAAGTTGGGAGGATTCTGAATGGGTTAGAACTCACTTTCTAGCATATGGATCTTGGGGACAAGATCAATGTGAGGGGGAGGGTTGTTACATGAGAAGCAAATGGGGAAAAAGAGGAGCAGAACCAGCAGAACCAGAAAGAAAAGAGGAAGAAGAAGGCAACAGAATTACCTGACTTTGAAATTCAAAACGGTGTCATTCAAACTTAGTGTCGTTTTGAATTAATAAATTGTAATAGTTAAAAAATCGTTTTTTGTATTTTTTTTTTCTTTTGTCAAAGCACGACTTGCACTGGCATATATTAACCTCCATTTGTAAAGAAGAAGGGGTGTGATTTTGTCTGTAATTTGATATTTTTAGTAAATTTGTTGAAATCGTTCAACAGCTTTCCTCATCTCCTTCTTAATTTTCTCATTTATCCATTTCCCATTCTATTTTTTTATTTATTGGTTCTAATTCAGTTGATTTTAGTTGGAAGTCTCCATTTTCTAAGCTAAAGTTACGGTAAGGATCCAAGCTGAAGTTCCGACCATGACACTGGCCCATGGCGCTAATGGATATCTCGCTTGAACTTCTTGGCGGTATATGCATGGTTCTGTTTTGTTGGCCGAAATAGCTACGTTCCTGTTACTGATGAGCATTACTATTTTTATGACCGTGTACCTAGCAGCAGCAGCCAGGTGCCATACTTGTACATAGATTTTCAATAAATGATTATTATATAATTGTTTTATGGTTTTAATTAAACTAGGTGCAAGCAACGTGTAATGCACGTTTGCTTAGTTTATATTTAATAGTTTTGTTTAAGAATTAATTTGTTATCAATAAAGATGTAATTTTTTTGGTTAATTAAGGGCGTGTCTGGGCACGCTGCAAGGAGGAAGGAAAATTGATTANAGTATAATTTTTTGTGAGTATTTCAATATTCTCTAATTTTAAATGTGTATTTTTTACATTATTGCTCTTTTACTACAAAACAACTACATACTGTAATGATTTTAAATTTTACCTGTGGATCCCTGAAGCATCTTCAATACATTTCATAGATAACAATCTAGATGACATGTAAATAAAAGGGCTGTCAATCCATATGGCAATAATGTCTGATGAATAGATGAATAAGTTCAGTTTCATTTCCAATAAACTCCTAGTGTAATTTCAATTTTTCACTTAATATGTATATTTAATATGAGAAACAAATAATACTAAACCAAAAAAATGAAACAGAATAAGAAACATGAGAGAACAAGATGAAAATATTGAATTATGATGACTCACCCAGAAGGTCCTCTATATCTAAAACTTCTTGACAATGCCTATGTTTATTCTTGCCAAGTCAATTGGACATGATGCATATACCAGCCTGTTTGTTGCACATTAAAATGAGAGAATGTATTTTTTGAAGTGATGTGATGGAGAATATATGATTGAAAAAGAAGGAAAAGTTATTGATGTGATGGAAAATATTATTTTATTGAATAATATGTGGTTGAAAATGAGTAGAAGAATGAGATAGAAAAAAATAATATGGCTCAAACAGGGGCAGTCTATCTACTTTAATTTATATGACAATTTCATTAGTACAATCTTCATTAGTATTGAAAATGTTCTGAGTACGTTGCTATGTTATTTCAAGTTTATTATTATTATTTTTTAATTCATTTTCAACTACACATTATTCTAATAGATTATTTTGGAAGACACATTCTCCTAATAAATAACTTACAACTACATATACTCCTACGGCATGCTTCATCATTGCGTGCAAATCCTCCACCTATTCTTTGTCGATTGTCGGCCAGCGTCTTACGGCACACATACTTTCAAAATCACAAGAACAAAATACCAACAACGTTTTTAGTACAACCATAAATACCTATATAATAGTCATTTGATAAATCAAGTCAAATGATTGACTTGATTGCTGTGTTAATATTACCTTAATTGTCCTGTTGAAGTTTCTTTTAGTTCTCTTTGCTCTGTACCTATCAATCCTTTCTTTCCTCTTTTCTGCAGTGTACCGCCAGGCTTTAACATTTGCTTCTTCATTCAATGACTTTACGTTTGATAATGGACTTGAAGACGACAAATTTCTGGCTTGCATTTTTGCTTTCATCTTATGGAAATACAAAATTCAAAACATGATAAGATATAATTGATATAACAATGAAAAAACTGGATTAATAATTGTAGAAAATTCGCACGGGCCCTTTAAAAGTTAACAGAGCTTTGAACTGTGAAAGTTTAAGCTTTTCAAAAAGTGATTTAACATGCTATCCGAGCAGACAAAGGTCCTCAATTCAAGTCTTTCCATCACTTATTTATGAAAAATTGTGCATGAGTCAAGACTATGGTAAAATAATGAATTGCACCGTGACAGCCAACTTTTAGATGACATGGTTAAATGTGAACTGACCTGTAAATCTCCAGTGCCACAAACCCTTCTCATTTGACCAGAAGAGAAACTGCTTTCTGGGGAATTCAGCATATCATTTTGCAAATTTTGAGACTCAAAAACATTATCAAATAGAGGTTGAAATAGAAAATTCGGTTCATTTTCAAAAGAATTGCTGCTATAACTCCTATGCATGAACTTCATTGTAGATTCAGCAGCACCATCATAAATCTCATGCGGATTTGAATTTCCATAATCCAAGAAACTATCGAAAGGGGATTGATCTTCCTTTGTTTTAACCTCTAAAGAAAAATTCTCATCATTTGTTAAATGGGACAAGGACATATTCTCAAACTGAGTACTGGCAATTTGGTCCAAAGAATTGATTTCATCGAAAGAAATTTTTTCTTGAAGCAAATTCAAACCATTTTTGGCATTTTCTTCAATTTCTTGGAAGATATCATGGAATGGGTGAATCAGAGAATCAAAAAATGGATTAGAAAACGACCAAAAAGGTGTGTACATTGCATCCATCTCAAAATCAAATAAAGGATCTTGGAGACCGTAAAACTAAAAAGAATGTTACCTTAGCATCATATGATAGTCATCGTGTTTCTAGGCAATAATTCTTCCAGAATAAGTGCTTGACGCAAGGCATCCACAGACTTTAATTCCTCCTGGTCATGTTCATCCTCCAACACAACGGACATAACTTTGTTGCTTCTCCTCCTCCTGGTCAAAGATTTTTTGAACATTGAAGAGGCATCAATTGCCTTCTTCTTGAAAGATCCAAGCCTAGTCTTCTTGTCATCCTCAGAGTTTCCAATGTCGTGACCTGAAATACGTGCAATCTTATTACTCATTGATAGTTTTATGTTTGTTCTTTCATTTCAAATCATCCAGTGCAAATAAATGCGATAGGTACAAACATGTAAGAGCGCTTGATTGATTATGATGGCCGTGAACGTCAAGATACCAATTAAAACAAGAGCCAAAGCATATTCTTGCAAGTGCAAAGTTAAAGATAAACACAAAAATAAAGTGCTTCTCTCTGTCATCTCCAACCCAAAATCACAAACAAAAAACTCAATTTTTCTCATTTTTCGTCCGAATCAAGAAAAATAATGCTCTCTTTCTACAGATTTTGTAGTGTACCGAAAGCATATCTCAATTTTATAAGAGGAATAAATATAAATACTTACAGGGCTTGTACCTAGTGGAGGGGTACATCCATGGAGGCAATGACAACAAGATCAGAGAACCAGGGAGAAGTAAAGAAAATCTAGAGAAGCAATAGAATATCAATTATTCATATACACCGCCTTCTATATTCAGATTTGTGATTTGCATTGTATCTACTTTGGAAAATACAGATAATAAAGTTACCCCAACCCCACCCCAGAGAAGCAGGAAGAAGTGAAGAAAATCCAAAGAAGCAAAGAGAACACCAATTATTAACAAAATTATATTGAATGAAAAGAAGAAGAGTATCGCATGGCATGCAATATGGAAATTAAAAAAATAATAGCTGCTTGCATTTTATTGCCATACAAAAGCTACTCGTCGGAGAAAATGGCTGCCAATAAAGTGGCATCTATACTGTCCACCGCATATTGACACGTGGCATAGGACCCACCGGATTTTTCACTCTCCGAGGCATGGGTTTCCAACAAATTTCAGATTTGTACTGAAAATTTATGAGAAAATTGTGGGTTTTCTTAAAGGGAGTGAAAAAGTAGCGGTAGTGAAACATGCTCGTGATTCACAGGAAGAGTTTGCCTTTTGGCTTACACCACTTCATATTCTGTGGGAGAGAGGTTTCTTTTTGAAATGAGAGCACAAAGTTGGGGAGGATAATGGTGAAATAGCTTGGAGAAAAAGACCCATTGATATTCTCTTTATCAA